GCTTTTTTTTTTTTTTTTAATTGCATTTTAGGTTTTGGGGTACATGTGAAGAACATGCAAGATTGTTGCATAGGGACACACATGGCAGTGTGATTTGCTGCCTTCCTCCTCTTCACCTATATCTGGCATTTCTCCCCATGCTATCTCTCCCCACCTCCCCACCCCCTCGTCCCTCCCCCATTTCCCCCCAACAGACCCCAGTGTGTAATGCTCCCATCCCTGTGTCCATGTGTTCTCATTCTTCAACACCTGCCTATGAGTGAGAATGTGTGGCGTTTGATTTTCTGCTCTTGTGTCAGTTTGCTGAGAATGATGGTTTCCAGGTTCATCCATGACCCTACAAAGGACACAAACTCATCATTTTTGAAGGCTGCATAATATTCCATGATGTGTATGTACCACATTTTTGGATTTGGCTCTTTTTAACAGGAAGTCATAATTTTCTATAGAATTACTTAACTTCAGTCAGTTCGTGAATCAAATCACAATGCTTTCTACATTTTAGATTGTCGCAATTTCACTGATAAGAAAAAATAATTGTTTCTATTGGCCAGGTGCGGTGGCTTACATCTGTAATCCTTTGGGAGGCCAAGGCAGGCAGATCACCTGAGGTCAGGAGTTTGAGACCAGCCTGGCCAACATGGCAAAACCCCGTCTCTACTAAAAATACAAAAATAAGCCTGTTGTGGTATGCGCCTGTAATCTCAGCTCCTCCGAGGTTGAGGTAGGAGAATTGCTCGAACCAGGGAGGTGGAGGTTGCAGGGAGCCAAAATCGAGCCACTCCACTCCAGCCTTGGTGACAGAGAGAGACCCTGTTTAAAAAAAAAAAAAAAAAGAAAGAAAGAAAGAAAAAAGAAATACAAAAGTAATTGTACATGGTTTTATAAAGGAAGGAAGTCTCTTCTAAGAATAAAACTGTTTACTGTATAGAGCTAGTATTTTTGTTATTCATAGTATTAACAAAACAAAGTCCTATGGAGAGGAAATAGCAATACAGGCAAAAAGAATGTATATTTTTATATTACAACCAAATAGCATATAGCATATGCAAACTATTTATTTAAATATTTTTAAAACCAAAATGGAGGCAAGGACACACATTTACATCATGCTAGAGCTAAAAGCAATCATAGAAATAAGTGTCTGAAATATCTAGGTTTTTTAATTAAGAAAACTGGAGCTGAGAAATTGATTTCCCCCCGCCCCGAGTCTCACATTTGTATGTTGGCAGGGTTTTAACTCAGACATAGGAATTGGGACCAGTCTAGGAAAGGGCAACTGCAAGCTTCAGAACGACACACAGTTCTCACAAATATTTTCATTTTTATCACCTAAAGCAAATTTCAGATTACTTACAATCTCTAGAAATTAGCATTTCATTAAACCATAACTAGGAAATGTTTAACGTTTGAGGCAAAGTTAAGAAACCTATTTAAACTTAATTAAACAGAAAATAAAAAGAAAATTAATGAAAACAAATTTATATTTAATGTTTTGAGCCAAAGTTAAGAAACTTAATTAAAACAAAATTATTTTTGGTGCTCATATTTTTGATAGGTAAAAATAATGTTCTCCTACATAATAACAGGGAATATTAATATTTGTTGCCAATTAAGAGAGGAGTGTGAGCCCTGAGAGTGGAGAAATAAAACTGAGAGGCAATAAGGGGAAGGGAGACAGGTATAAAGAGATCATTAGAAAGTGAAGAACAAGGTAAATGTAAACATGTAAACACATTTCTTAAAAATTGCAATTGAAATATGAAGAGAATGTGATCTACTATAGATCTTCACTACGAAAAATACAATGAACAAAATGAAATAAAAACACATAAAATACAATGAACAAAATGAAAAAAAAAACACATATTACAAGAAATAATGCCAGTGTTTCTTTTTTATAGTAATGAAGAATATTTTATTGTACCTGTTCTACGTATAGTTGTCCGTAACTACTGAAACTCTCTAAAAATGAATGGAATTATTTTGTCTGGGCTTTATAGTTAAATCTGGAAGATTTTTTTTTTTTTTTCAGAAAAAGATCACATTGTTTTCTTTGAGTGAATTCACCTTTTTTCATCATAATTACTCTAATTTCCATGCATATCAATTTGTTTAAGAGCAAAGCTCTTTATGTTATGTTATTGGCATTTCCTTAAGAGGGGAAAAAAACAAATAAAGTTATTACATATCTGAACCAAATGGTGGTTTTCAAGAATACAATTCTGCATAACTGTGAAACCTAGTAGCTCCAAATGAAAGGAAATGGAATAAAAAATGAATGCAAGTTAAATCAATGAATTTTGGTATGAGAGGAGAAAAAAAGAATAATACATTAAATGTGTATTTCTCTAGTATAACATATTAAAAATGAGAATGATATGGAGAGATAGAGAGCCCTGTGGCTACTTTTGACTATTTTACCTGCTTTTAGTATTTGCTCTTCTAGATGCCCATTATTGAGTTAGATAAGCAAATGGCATTTGAGGCCCAAAATATCTATTTCCTGAAGAGTTGCTCCTCTAATTATGTGTCTAGGTACCTATGTATTATGTATCTCTTGGTAAAAGATTTAATTTTTAATTAAAATCAATCTCTTAATTCGTGATGAATGGGACATCTTGTGGGAGATGGAAGACATGGAAGGACAGTTTGCAAAGACATGGAACGACAGTTGAGACTTTCCTCACAGGTTCTGGAATTCAGGTTGATTCTGCCTTTTTAAAAATTTTAAGGATCGGTAGCTAAAAATATCAAGTCAGTTTCTTCATGTCCGCTGAAGGCTTGTTTCCATCAGATTTTATCTCTGCCTAGACAAATGTATTGGAGACTTCTCGACTTCCTGCTTCTGATGATCTCAACTTGTTGTATGACAAAAGGAGATCCAAATATTAGCCCATGTATGGAAATTTCTCACAAAAATGTTACTATATTATATTTAGGGAAAAAAGATGGCAAGATCTATACTCATTATACCGGAGACTGGATTTCTAGAACCTTTTGGTTTCAGATTTTTGATGAAGTAGAAAACTTTCTGATTAGAAAAAATATAATAGTTTCAAATATTAGCTAAACTTTTTATCTTTAAGTACAATAAACATGACAAATAAATAGTCAATATTTTCACTTCTATTAAGGAGAGTATTTCTGATAGTAAAAATAACCCTTAGTGTGAAAAAGCTAAGAATTCATGACTGCTTCTAATGACAAGTATCTGGGAGGGGTCTGAGTTTGGTTCGAGAGAGGAACTACAGCTGTTGGTGACTACAACCATCTGCCCAGATGACATCGTGATAAACTCTGAATCACTCTAAAGGAACGAAGAGCCCTGACAGCTGAGTCATGGTCCCCCAGGAGCCATTAGGAAGTTGATCTTAAGCCACTTTCATTCAAACAACAACAAAAAAAGCCATGAAAGTTGAGAACTATGGGTCCTGAGAATGACAGGAAATTGGTGCCACATTATTCACAGAATTCAATAAATAGTTAATTTTTTCTCTTCGTTTCACATACTTAATGCTCATTATTTTACATTTTTATAAAGACCACTTAGTTTAAATTGCCATTCATCTCTTTCCTATCAAAATCTTACCCAACACATAATCATATAATCAGAAATTAGATAAGGTTTTCTTGTTTAATGCCCTGCATAACACATTCAATTACAATTTTCTGGGAATGGTGATCAAATATTTGATTTTTTGTAAGTTACATCAAATCCTCATTACTAGGTTAATTTATAAATGATTACAATTTATCACATGGTACACTTTTCATATCTTTTGAAGGATTAATATACAAAAAGTACATAGTTAATGCTCAGCTTAAAGGTATTAAAATTGAATCTGCTTATTCAAGTATAATGATAAAACTGAAAGAGATCTTAAAATGGTTTAATCTCTTCCTTAGCTTTCAAAAAGATAAAGTCTTATTCTTTATTGGAGATTTCTTTATCCATAGAATATCTTAATGCCCAATGTCTCAACTTCCTCCCTAGGTCAAGCTTTATCTGTTTTTAAAATATTTATGTTGACTTCTTCAGATATATCATTAATTGATACTGTTTTTGATTCTAGTTATATATACTGTTATCCTTGGATATTAAAGTAGGTCTCAAATACATCTTTCATGATGGTGTGTAAGATTCTGAGAGATCTGGAAAAAAAGGTATGATCTCCCTTCTCAAGTGCAAGTATATACTTGGAGAGATAGTTTTTCACTTACATTCTGGGAGATCATCTATGGTCTCCCCATGTCTTTTATAGAAGAGGCTTCCAGCACCTATTGTGGAAGTCAAATGGTCATTTGGATCTCCCTTATCTCTATACTAGATGATAATATCCAATGCCGATAAGTGGTGGTGGGGAGAGTAATATTGACAGAATAGTGATATGGCAAATATTGGCACCTCAGAAACTTTTTGCTTTTTTGAGGGCTCTTATTAATATTTGCAAACTTTAAAAAGGAAAAAGTCTTGAAAAGAGTTTTATCCATAACTGACCACATATAGAGAAACAGATCCCTCTTGTTATGGGAAATGAGGGAAATGAGGATAGTCCAAAGTCCCCCTGATTAAACATTTTTCCTCATTGGACACATTCTTCAGCAGTTCCTTAAGAGAAAAATATACTAAAAAAAGTTAACTCTGGGAAATCTAGAATTAGATTAAAATTATTGACACTAACAGGAATGCCTGGATATTTCTTTAAAAAATGCTTATCTTAATTTTTTTGAAAACCCACATTAGCACCAGATCATTTCTTTAATGTGTACTGATTTCCTTTCTTCATTGGCTAAATAGCTTTGCTATTATGAGATTAAAATCACGTAACTCAAAGGAGATGTATAAGATCTGGAATAATGTCACGTAGTTACAAAACCAAATTCCAATGCTAATATAAATATAAATTATGCCTACTATGTTTGTCGTTGATTTGGGATTATCTGTTTGCCTCAAGTCATTTAAAAAATTGAGTAGGAAGCACCTGAAGCTTTCCTTTCACAACAAGAGAAGGTTTTACTTTGTATTCACTTTACTCAGCTTTCTTTATATGAAAGTAGCCAGGAAGCAGAGGAGAAAAATTAATTACAAGAAATTGTGATAGGAAACTATTAGGAAAAGCAATTAATTTCTGATAACAGCTCTACGATCTAGGTAAATAACAATGAGCACTCATAGTTTGGGAAGTGAGAAGTGCCTGTTGAATAAGTGACTACTTGATTGGTTTTAAGCATGTGGAGCTCATTTGGCATCTAAAATATAGAAGAGAGTGAGATATTAGCTTCCTGAATAGCTGCTCTTATCAGAAAACATAATGAACCAATAAAATTCTTATTTAAGATGAAATAACTATTTTTTTAGAAATAGTGATCTTATGTTCTTTGTTGTATAAACACATATGTACTCATATAACATAGCTCCTGGGCTACAATAAACAATAAATGTATGTTTATCTTATTTAGGCAAACTAAATTTACAGGCTCGTTGCCCTTAAATTTTTTGAATTTATATCCATCTTTTGTTTTTTAAGATGTTATGAAAATAAAATTTTAAAAGCTCTTCTACTTCTAACCGCCATGTATTAACAGGGATTGGATTTTTCTACCTACCTGAAATAACTAAAAGAAAAAAAAAGAAAGAAAAAGTATAAGAAATTATATTGGTCAGTGGAGAGAAGTGACTTCATAGAGACAAGAAACAAGTGTTTAGCCCCACATTTGTACATTGTTCCAGCAGACTGATTGAAGAGACTGTTTAGTTTCTATGAGTTTAGACAAGAGTCTCAGGTGGTAGTTAGGGTATACAGGACCAAGCATCAGAGAAGACAGAGTTATACAGAAAGGGAGATCCAGGGATCTTCAGGGGGACTTCTAATCTTCAGCTGAATATTGGTCTGTGCATTCATAAAAGTCTAAAGACTGGGTGAAGCACCACCTAAAAGGGTTAGAGGGGCCCACATATGTAAAGCAGGGAATATTTTTTGTTCCCAAGTTGCAAAGCTCTCAATTTATGAAGCATTGAGTATAATACTCAGTTGTTTGCCTCAGTAGTAGGAAAACATTAACCATAGTATAAACAATTCTCTGGTCTTACCTAACAAAGTTTAATTGCAAAACTACCAAATATAAAACTGTTTTCAAGTAATTTACATCCCAGAAAAGAGCTCAAGGATATTTATAGAAATACAACAAATACAATACCCGATAAGGTAAAATTCATAATATTAGGCAACCACATCAAAATTACTAGGTACTCAATAGTAGAATATAACTCATAATGAGAAAAGTCTAAATGACATCAAAACCAGAATTAGCAGACAAAAATAGTAAAAATTTAAAGTATTTTCCATGTGTTCAGAAAGCTAGAGAAAAGTTGTATTAAATTTTAATATAACTATTGTGATTCATTTTCTGAGATGAAAATTAACCTTTGAAGCTTCCTAAGTGGACTTTAAATATTACCAAATTATTAATAATAAATACCATTATTCTGGAGACTTACCTGTTTCTGAGATTTACTCTGTTTTTAAGCCTTGGGAAATGGGGAATGAGGAAGCAAGTGATGCTTATAGATGAATTATCATAGAATTCAAGGACTGAACAGGAATAGATAAGGATCAAGAAGAGGAGGAGAGATAGACTAGCTTGCCAGGAGCATGGTGATGGCTCTAGTTCCAGGGTGTCAAAGGCATGTCATGCTTGGTAATAAAAACAGTATTTACATTTTATCAGTGTCGTACTGATGAATGCTTTCGCATTTCTGATGCTGAAATAGCTTTATTATGTCCTAATCAATAACATATAATAATTTTTACTCACATGTTGATTGGGGAATTCCTTGCAATAATTCTAAGTCTACACAGAGACCTGTGGTCCATCAGATGGAACAATTGGGAAAGTAGTATTGCAGCATTGGGACTTCTATTATGGGTCATGGTGTCCTTACATTCTTTTGTTTTTGAAATCATTTTAACAACTCATTGTTCCAACTAAGAAAGGACATAATATCCCAAGGGAGGCTTAAAGAGAAAAGAAAACAGTGGATTTGACACGGGTCCATACTTTTTGTTATTGTTGGTTTGAGGAAGAAGAAAAGTAGAGGTGATGAAGTTGCTCTCAGCAACTGGTAGTTGCTGGTAGTTGAATCTCAGGCTATGATTTTACTTGGCACCTGACCCTTGGAGAAGCGAAGACAGGGGCAGAGGGTAATGGGAAGACTGGGCCCCTGGAATTGATACATAACACTTAGAAAGCAGTCAGTGGGGATCTCAGAGAGCCAGGAGAGATGGTCTAGTATGAAGAAAACTTGCTGGAAATACTTGAACCCTTCCCTAATTTTGGTGAGATTTGATAACCAGAAACACATGTCTATTGAATTCAAATTTCTCCAAATGCACATTGCAGCAATCAGAAAGAATTATAGTGCTGCTACATTTCTACAAAAGATAGCAGAATCTACCTTTGACACTAATGCATGAAAATATTTTTGTGTTTTAAAAAGGCAACCAGCCAAATTTAATTCCTCAAATGAGTTAATTGCTGTAGATGGTAGACAAAAAGTAAGGCTGATTGTAGAAGGCCTTTATTGAGAATAGATGAGTTGTATTATAGCACAATTCTTAGATCATGTCCACATAGTAAAATACATTGATGATATAATTAGCCCATTTTAATTTATATTATAGTTCAATTTAATTAATTTATACCGAAAAATAAGATTTTTTTGAAAATCCTAGTCTGAGTAATTTTTTTCACTTTTTATATTGTCTCTTCCTTATTATATGTTTCAAGGATGTTTACTTTGAATTTTTTTCTTGTATTAGGTAGAGATATCAATTGAAATATATCTAATTTTGTGACACTGAATTTAATCAACCAACCATTCCTAAGGAATTGATAGCATATTTACTATTTGGTTACATGGATAGGCATTCTGGCATTAAAGTAAGTCTTTACAATAAGATTAGAAAATTACTTTTTAAGAGAATTAATATTTTGAAAATTTGAGTTTATTACAAAATACATTCTCATTTTATGTGCTATTATTTAATTTAACAATAAGTTTTTATGGCAGATTTTAGTCAAACTAGTTGTACAATCAACAAGCAAATGATATATGGTCAATCAATCAGACCATCAAATACCAGTTGGTGGCATACTCTATTTGAACAGGAACCACATTTCCAAAAGGAATGTGATTTAGTCATTGGAGGTAAAATGAAAGATATCAGACTATACCTTAAAAACAAACAAACAAAACAAAACAAACAAAAACTTGTCCAATTCAGTATACATAATAGAAATAGGAATCAAATAGTAGTATGTATGTCATTAAAACTTTCTAACAAGATTCTGTGATCATCTGAAATAGAAAAACATGGTTTTCCAATATAACTACTCAAATCAGTAAAAAAAAGTATTTTAAAGCTTTACTCTTATTTTAAAAATTTTACTTTGTCTTAGTTATCTGTATTTACATTAATGTTTTTCAATCTTTGTTTATCCCTATTTATAGTTTATATACTTTTATTAAGCTAGAGGCCATAAACTAACATTTCATACTCAAATAAATTTCAGGGACTATTCCCTCTTTAGTTTAAGGATTAGATGAGATATGGATACTATATGTTCAAATAGTCATGCACTAGAACGACACATTTAAAATAATTTTTAAAATGTGTTATGAAGATTTTGTCATGTTCAAAACTTTTGCAATATCTCTCAAAATTGTCACACCTTCTCCCTTTCATGTAAATATTATGCTTTTACACAAGAAATATGACTCTATGTGCAGTATGTTTCCTGCTTGAGTTTTGCCCTTTGTATTCATATTATCTCACGTTATACAAAGTCATTTTGTGACTAATTTCCAGGGCACTGAGTCACAGTGTGGCTGTTGCTTATCTTTTCTCCTCTCCCACATGGTAGTACTCTTGGCCCTTATATTTGGCAATTATTTTATACTAAAGAGTGCTTTTTTATAGTTAAATAATAGTTTGTCTCATTATATTTCTGTGGTTTAGTGCTGCATTACATGCTTTCCTGTCTTAATAGAAGCAAACATTTTATATCCAACATAACATAACAGTACATCATGTAGACACGTTATCTATTGTTTTAATTTACAAAATTGCACAACATAGACTTGTTCGTAAGTATTCTCAGTTAGTCATCTTAGAATATAAACTTTAGTCTTTGGAGACTTGTAAAATATTTCCTTAGAGGGATTAGTTAATGCTGGCATAAAGTATTCAATTTAGATTATAATTATTTGAATATTTACACATCATTTTAAATGTCATTAACTAATGGTATTGACGGAAGATTCTTTACACAGAAGAGTGACAGTCTTCTTATTATATGTTATGAAATAAAATGGAAAGGTAAACCAAACTTTCAAAAACTTCCAATTAACCAAGCACAATTAGTAATGAATTCTCCTGTAATCTTCAAATTATAAAACAGTTACATACACCAATTAGTCACAAAAATGTTCACGGTTTAAAGTCATAAACATAGCACATAAATTTGCTTAACAATTAAATGCAAAATGCTGAGAACTCATTTTCATTGCAGTTTGAGTTTACTTTGTTTACAGGGAAGGGTTGATTTTCATTTTAGGCAAATAAACAGTGATCCTCCCCTATCAGTTCTTTGTCTCTCAGCACCCTGCTTTTCCCCCAAGAAAAGGAAATTGAAGTTATTTCTCATGGGCTAGACAGTATATCGCCATGTACTCACAAGTAAAATCTCTGATGAAAGTTCTTGGAGTGGTTTTTTCAAAACGGAGTTGAGGTAATTTTCTTTTTCCTTCCAGGTATTGAAGAGATGATTTGTCTTCTCTACTTCTTCTTTTAGAAACAGATCAAGAAACTGGGGATTTAAAAATACTGAAAGAAATGCAATCTGATCTTACTAGCAGTGAAAGAGGGAGGTAAGAATTTGACTATTATCCAGCCTAAAGACGCTGCTGTCCGTTGGAGCAAAGAGGGAGCCTCAGAGTCTGTTTGAGATCACTGGCAGTTGGGAATAGCCCAGCTTCCTGTTAGGTCACTACTGCAACCCTGATGACTCTATATAGTACAAACCTCTTTTTTTTTTTTTTTATTGTTGGTGGAGGAAACAGATGAAGGAAACAGCTTACACCCAAGATTTCAGATACAATCATTTGAATAACTATTTCTTTCACTTTCCAGGATTGTTTTTGTAATCAGTTTAAAAAGAATACTTTTTTCCTTCCAGAATTAGGGTGTTTTATAAAATTACATATTTATTATTACATCGTTAATAAATAAACTTTTTTGCAGTTTGTTTCTTCTTCAAGTTATTTCATTTGTTTCACCCACCGTCAGTATATTTGTTTTTTTGAAAAGTCTGAGGGCTACTATCGGATGTTTATCTTAGTGAGGCAGTGTAATGCATTATCTGTTGCAGAAGGTCAGGCTTTGAGCTCTACCTTAGCTACTTGCTAGCATTGCAAGTTATTTGACTTCTCTATACCTCAGTTTCTTTGCTCCTAAAATGTTGATAATAAAAGTTTCTGAGCTTGATATAAGTACTAAATGGCATAAAAAGTACTTAAGGCAGGCCCCAGCATGTAACGAATCTCCAATAAATGTTGACTATCATTATGGCTGTTGTATTCTATTATTATTCTACACATCATATAAATATTTAAAGGTGTCAACCAGAGTCTCTCTGCTGTATTGTTAAGGTTAATCCTTACTGTTTTTGTATTGGAATTATGGTCATATCAGATTAAGATCATTAGAGATCTAATAGGCAGAATCTACTTTGCCAGCAACACTGAAGACATTTGGTCAGAAAATATACCAGTTTCTTGTTTCTCCATCTCAGATCCTTTGTGCCTTCAACTTTTCTTGCTTTCCTTAGACCTCTCTGTAAAAGGTAACCTTTCATTTTGTGTGTTTTTAATATGTATTGAATAATTATTAGGTGACTGGAACATAAATTTTCTTAGTTAATTTTCACAACTAGCTTATAAAGAAGGTCCTCTTTGTATGCCCATTTCCCAGGTCTAGGAAGATTGAGTTCAGTATGTGAAGCTGTGATTCTAATCCTGCAGTCTGATTTTAGAGCACAAATGCCTAAATCCTCCTCTATGCTGCCTTCTCACTCATGCTCTGGATTTGATAACATGTTAATAATTTATCTCCTATTACCTCATGCCCTGCCCCTCAGTCACAATCAAAGCTCTCGTCTCACTCAGACTGTGGAGGAAAGTTGCCTTTTTTTTTTGGTTCCACAGTGAATCTTGATTAAACTTTTGATCAATCTATAGCTTAGGTAGAGACAAGCTCAGCCAGTCAGGCTTTCTTTCTTGAAAGCATGAACTGAGAGCTATGGAAAAAGTACATTGTGTAAAAATAAAATAAAATTTCAGGACCATTTAAGTTTATTATGTCAAGAGAAAAGTTAAGCCCTGGAGATTGTCAGGTAGCATATTTGCAATTCTGCCCCTTAGACTGTAGATTGGCTCTCTTTTTATTGGAGGCTGGCGTTTGCTCTGTCACCAGGCTGGAGTGCAGTGGTGCGATCTTGACTCACTGAAACCTCTGCCTCCCAGGTTCAAGTGATTCTCCTGCCTCAGCCTACCAAGTAGCTGGGATTACAGGTGGGTGCTACCAAGCCCGGCTGATTCTTGCATTTTTAGTAGAGATGGGGTTTCTTGATGTTGGCCAGGCTGGTCTTTAACTCCTGACCTCATGATCCCCCCACCTCAGGCTCTCAAAGTGCTGGGATTATAGTTCTTGTTCTAAAAATGACTCGGAGAGACAAGAGGTCAAACCTGGCCCTACATCCAATTACTCATCTTTGTTATAGATTAGCTGCCTCCTTTATTGCCTGGTACCTAATTCAGACCAGATGGCACCTCAGATGCCATGACAGTTACATCTTCAGCGTGGAATGTTAAATATGCATTTCCCAAGACAAAAGTACCACCTGGACCAATTAATAATTGTAACTATGCCATTAAGGCTCACATAGAATGATGCTGAAAATTCTGTTAAGCTTCCCTGAACTTTGACTCTTTAAGTGATCCCAAACTTCTATACTTGTGAACATTGACTTTCATTCTTTGGAATCTGTACTTCCTGAGCAGCTAGTCCTCAAACTTTGTGTTTGAATAAATTCTCTTTAAACTAGATTCTGACTCTTTTAGTTATTTTAGGTTGACCACAGTAAATGTCAGGCTTTTAACTGAAAGCCCAGATGGAGAAAGGGCTGATAGCCACATGTCTGTGTGCAAGATGGTTATGTGGTGAAAGCTAATTGATAGGGTATTGAGAAAAAGAATAAAGGGAGGAGAACAGGTAACTTCTAAGAAAGAACAAGAGAAAAAGTGAAAGCAAGAGCAAGAGTGAGAAACAAGTGATGTGAGCACGATGCCTGAGCTCTACGGTGGCAGTACATCCCAGGCCTAGCTCAAGTTTTCCGAGGCACTCAGGAACAGACATCCTTGGCATAAACCCCTTTTTGCCCTAAAGTTATTTTTAAAAGTTTTTTTTTTTTTAATGTTAAGAACTCTTTCTGAAAGACCCATATTTTTAACACCAGAGATCATCCATTTCATAGTTAAGCTGTGCTTAGCATCAATGCAAACATCATTTTAAAAATGTAACTTACAAAAACTTCAGTATGCTTGTGCTCAAGACAATGTGAGAACTTGATGTTGTTATGATATCGTTAGGTTAGCCTGATACTGAAACTATGGACCCTGTAGACTCAGCTCCTCTCTGTGGTTTTTTGTTTTTGTTTTTTGCTAGTTTACCATTCCATTGTATATAACTCTAAGTCTTACTTATTTGGATAAAACAAATATTCTCACCAACAATTTGCCTATTTGCCTTTGTATCTTAAACCTCTCTGTATCTAATAAGTGTCTGGATCTTTTCATTTCCCACCACTTTTGTTATTTTTTCTTTCCAACTCACATGTGTCAAATAATATTCTCAGCTCTTAATATTAGCTTTAATGCCTCTTGACTAAGATATAAAAATAATCTTTTTTTTCTTTACTTGCATTGCTTATTAGGAGACATTTCCTAACTTTATCCATTAAGACAGATGGCTATTAAAACATATCTGATGTTTCAACAAGTTCAGGTAATTCTAACTGATCATGGTGAGAAGGGTACTCATTGTTGCAGGACAGGGAACACTAAGACTAAGAAGGATGTTAGAACTTTAGACAGAGGTTTTGATAAATGTCCAAAACAAAATTAAATGTTATCACATCAAATAGTCATTTCATGCATTTTTGTCTACTTAAAAATGTGTAAAACTTTAGATATTCCATTATTTCATATTTTAAACAATTTAAACAATTACTTTCATACAAAATGTAACTGCAAAGATGTTTAACTGGATTGGGTGAAGGGTGAGTCCTTGAGCTTCACTCTTTATTCCAGTCTTCATCCTTACATACAGAATCTAAGCCGTATGTTGTTTCTAGTTCACTTTTTCTAAAAATGGATTTCTGAAAACAGATCAGCAAATGGAAACAATGGACATTTTCAGATTTCATATGTAAAAAAGACAACTAGATTATATCAGATTATATTTATAAAAACTCTATGTAATAGGTTAAGACATATGCAAACATGGTTTTAAATGTGCCTCTATATTTATTTCATCATTACCGAAATTTATTTGGCTCTCATGTCTCTATGTTGGCTGATATGGAAAGTGCAATCTTGCTTTTTCTAGGTAATATACTACTAGCTAAATTATCAGTTAAAATTTGGTCACTTTGGGGCAAATCTAGGTAATTCAGATATGTCCTGCTGTCATTCCTTCCCTTCTGCTGAGAGCACCTGAACCATTGGGAGTTACTGGGAAAGGCCCCTGGCCCATTTTCTGCTCTCTGTTCTGACTGTCCTCTGCTAAGAGGGCTCTTATAGCTTGGTTGTGTCTATTATAGACAAGATTTAAAATTAAAAATATGTTCTCACTTCAGATCATATTTCTTGCAATGTAAAGCCTTGCCTTTCAAGAAAATCTTCTTTCCTGTGGGTTGAAACACCCATTTGGCAAGCCACATGAAGTTCTTTTTTGCTCTTATCTTTATCTGCCATGGATAAAGGATAAGGACAAAAAGAAATAAAAAAAATTTATCACGTAGTAAATCAAAATATTGCCAACTCTACTCCAGCCACCTCATTTTTAGCTAAATTTAATATAATGTTCATTTTAACAATAGTTGAGATATCTACTATTAAGTATATCATGCAGGTTATCTCCATGATTAATTTCTCTTTAGATAGCTTTTTAAGCCATTAAGTATCTCAACTTTTTATATTTCTTAAGAATTAAAAAAAATCCATCTCACAGGGAATCAGGAACAATTAGATAGATGTGAGGGAGAAGGGACATAGCCCCTTTTCCTTCTCCTCTCCCTGGTAGATTATATTATTTGTTCAAACATACATGTTTGCTTCCCTTCCCTTTTGGTCCCTCTTTGGTAATGAGTGAGAAGGGAATATTTCCCTCCTCTCTAACATAAGGTCATGCTGCATTATTGGCTTTGGCAAATAGAATGAGCATAGATATATATAGGCAACAGGTGGGTAGAATTTTTATGAGCTTCATGTCAAGTTTATGAGTTTTATGTTCCATATATTTTCCATTTTTTCTGCCAGATGATAGTTATGTTAAAGATTAGGACTATTTTTTTTTTTTTTTTTTTTTTTTTTTTTTGAGACAGAGTCTTGCTCCATTGCCAGCTGGAGTGCAGTGGTGCGATCCTGGCTCACTGCAACTTCCGTTTTCTGGTTTCAAGCAATTCTCCTGCCTCAGCCTCCCGAGCAGCTGGGACTACAGACACACACCACCACGCCCGGCTAATTTTTTGTATTTTTATTAGAGACGGTGTTTCACCATGTTGGCCATGATGGTCTTGATCTCTTGACCTCGTGATCCGCCAGCTTGGCCTCCCAAAGTGCCGGGATTACAGACCTGAGCCACCGCGCCTGGCCAAGATTAGGGCTATTCTTTCATACTGAATCATAATGAAGAAGAA